TATATATATATATATATATATATTTAGATACATATATAAATTTGTGTTTGTGTGTGTTTGTGCATGTTCACATATGTATATGTATATTTTTCCTATATTTGTAGGTTGTTTATTGGGGTAACGACAAAAAGAGGTACCAGCTTGAAGTCCCAGATCATGCCTGTAAGAAAGCTGGTAATGAATATGAACTAGTGAGTCAGAAAAAAGGATTCAAGCGATTCTGGACTCCCAAGACCAAAGACTTGCTAGCAGACATGATCTCAGGTGAAGAACACCATAGAACGGCATTGAAGGACATTGCACGCAGAATCTTCGAGCAGTTTGATAACCAGTAAGTGGTTGCATCTACAGCTAGTTAATCGCCCTCTCTCCTTTTGTTTGTGAGCGTTGAACCTGAGCACAATTAGAAATTTATGTATGAAGTTTTGTGATAACTGCAGTTATGTTATTTTGCAGTCATGAGAAATGGGAAGCAGTAGTCCAGTGTATATCAGTTTTGGATGTACTCATTTCTCTCACTCGATATTCTCAAGAGATCAATAGTGTCAGGCCAGCCATTTCTGTTCCCAGTGAAGAAGTACAGGTGTGTATCTGTGCATTCTTTTCCACTTGTACCTCTAATGATGAATATTATCTGTAAATTTACTTTTTTGTATCGAATAATAATGCAATAAAAACAACATTTCCAGCCATTCATTGAGATTCGAGATGGTCTTCACCCTTGTGTGGTAACTACCTTCAGTGGAGATGAATTTATTCCTAATGATGTGGTGTTAGGAGGAAGCAGTGAAGATGCTCACTCCCCATTAGTCCTTGTAACAGGTCCTAACATGGGTGGTAAATCAACACTCATGAGACAGACTGCCTTAATATGCATCCTTGCTCAGTTGGTAGGTTGTTATTAGAGTTCACTGATTCATTTCTTTCTTTTCTTCCTCCATGCCATTACATATACTTATTGAATACAGATTTTCTTCAGTCACATGCAAAATATATCTGAACATATAAAGATCCCCCCCAGGTCTCAGCACCGTGTAAACAATTATTTTCTCCTTCCCCTCCTTCATTGTGGATCCGTTTTCATTCTTCTTTCTTGAAAATATATTTTTACTTGTAAGACATTTGTTGTGTATTATTATATTTGCTGTAGAAATATGAGCGTGGATACATGTATAGTAAGTCGAATGATTTTCTTCTTTTCTTCAATTAACAGGGTTCATTTGTACCAGCAAGTTCTTGCCAGTTAACCCCTGTTGACCGAGTATTTACAAGACTTGGTGCCTCAGATAGAATCATGATGGGAGAATCCACTTTCTTTGTTGAACTTGCTGAAACATCCTCCATAATTCAGCATTCTACAAATCACTCACTGGTTTTGGTGGATGAGCTTGGTTAGTAAAGTGTGAATTTGGTTTGTAAGGAATTGTCACTGTAAACAAATATTATGTACATTAATAAATCAAATAAAAAAATCATATAAATTCTTTTCAGGTCGAGGTACAGCAACATATGATGGAACAGCCATTGCTTCAGCAGTTGTAGAAGCTCTTGTGAAATTAAAGTGTCGTACACTCTTCTCAACTCACTATCATTCTTTAGTTGATGACTTTGCTGATGTGAAGAATGTCTCATTAGGACATATGGTAAGACTTTTTGGAAATATTTTAAACATGCATACGCTCATGTACACATGTACTTGCATTCGCATATATGTATTGGGATATTCATGGTCTTACATTCTCTCTCTCTCTCTTCTCTTCTCTTCTCTTCTCTTCTTTCTCTTCTTTCTCTCTCTCTTCTCTCTCTCTTCTCTCTTCTCTCTCTCTTCTCTCTTCTCTCTCTCTCTCTCTCTCTCTCTCTCTCTCTCTCNGTGAAGTTTAGAACTCCCATTCAATCTTGGCAGGGGTGGGGGGAGGAGAAGGTTGCGGAGGGAGGGGGGAGAGAGGGAGAGGATGCGAAGGGAGAGGAGGAAAGGGGGTGATGGTGTGTGGGGGGAGGGGAGGAGAAGGAGGAGAGGAGGATGTGGAGAGGAGGAGGGGGAAGGGGAAGAGGGGGGAGAAGGATATGGAAGGGAGGAGGGAAAGGGAAAGGAGGAGGAGAGGAGGAAAGGGGGAGGAGGAGGAGGAAAAGGATGTGGAGGGAAGAGGGATAGAGGAGAGGAGAAGGAGTGGAGGGGAGGAGGAGGAGGGAAAAGGATGTGGAGGGGAGGAGGAAGAGGAGGAAGAGAAGGATGTTGGAGGGGAGGAGGGAGAGGGAGGAGGAGGAGGAGGAGGAGAAGGAGAAGAAGGATGTGGAGAGGAGGAGGGGGAGGAGAAGGATGCGGAGGGAAGAGGGAGAAGGAGGAAGGGAAGAATGCGGAGGGAGGAGAGAAAAAATGAAGAGGTGGAGGAGGAAGAAAAAGGCGACGAAGAAGAAAAATGGGAGGAGGAGGAGAAGGAGCCGGAGGTTGAGGTGGAAGTAGAAGTAGATTAAGAAGTAGAGGTGAAGGGAAAGGAAGATACGGACGTGGTAGTGTAGATGAGAAGGAAGAGAAGTAGGGCTGGAAGAGAAAGCAATGCCTTGGAAGAATTAGAAAACAGGGGAGAGTAAGAACACGGAGAAAAGAAGAGGGAGAAGGAAATAAAAGAAAGGGGGAAAGAGACCTTTTTAAAAGAAGGTAAACATGAACAAGGAATGAGAAGGATGCACTACTTCGTATCATGATGATCTGAATACATTTTAGACGTGTAACTTCTTGATAACTTATTGGTTCTATAAAGTTTAATTGTGGAAGGCTATCTGATATGACTCTACTGAAGAACAGGAGAGGGAGACGAGAAATAAATCGATATAATAATCAAAATCTATC